GTTTCATACTGGCCAGGAGGTCTGCTAAAGGAAGAAGAATTATGAGGCTTCTGTGGCCTTGTTACTCATTCGTATTTCCCCAAGGTCAGAGGGGCCAATGAGCCAGATCTCTTAAAGCAGTAGGTCTCAGCTCAAATCTTGGGGAGCTTTTAAGAAATACCCACGTGTAGGCCCAACTGGAGACTGATTTCTGGGCTGAGGCAAGGATTATCATGTGATTCCAACATGCAGACAAGAACGAAAGCCACCACTGCCAGAGCCAAACAGCACCTGCAGCCCCGTGTTCTAACAACACCTACGATGACCAGAACTGCTGTGTAACTGGGGCTGCTGCTGTAAGTGACCTTCAATTGACATAGTTTTTATATTACAGGTTGAATACAGCTTTATCCAAAATACTTGGGGCCAGAAGAGTTTCAGATTTCCAATTTTTTTTTTTAAATTTTGGAGTATTTCACTCTGGAGTTAGTAGATATAGGTAAGAACTTTCTCAACGAAACCCCAGCAGCACAGCAACTAAGAGACACATAGATAAATTAGACTTCATAAAACTAAAAAGCTTCTGCTCAACAAAAGAAATGGTCTCTAAACTGAAGAGAACACCCATAGAGTGGGAGAAAATATTTGCCAGCACACATCAGACAAAGGACTGATAACCAGAATATATAGGGTACTTAAAAAACTAAACTCTACCAAAACTAATGAACCAATAAAGAAATGGGCAAGTGAACTAAACAGAACTTTCTCAAAAGAAGAAATTCAAATGGCCAAAAAACACATGGAAAAATGCTCACCATCTCTAGCAATAAAGGAAATGCAAATGAAAACCACACTAAGATCCCACCTCACCCCTGTTAGAATAGCCATCATTAGCAACACCTCGAACAACAGGTGTTGGAGAGGATGGGGGGGGGGTTGGGAGAAGGAACCCTCTTACACTGTTGGTGGGTATGAAAACTAGTACAACCACTCTGGAAAAAAATCTGGAGGCTTCTTAAAAAGCTAAACATTGCTCTACCATTTGATCCAGCAATACCACTCTTGGGGATATACCCAAAAGACTGTGACACAGGTTACTCCAGGGGCACCTGCACACCCATGTTTATTGCAGCACTATTCACAATAGCCAAGTTATGGAAACAGTCAAGATGCCCCACTATTGACAAATGGATCAAGAAAATGTGGTATCTATACACAATGGAATTTTATGCAGCCACGAAGAAGAACGAAATGTTCTCATTTTCTGTAAATGGATGGAATTGGAGAACATCATTCTGAGTGAGGTTAGCCTGGCCCAAAAGACCAAAAATCTTATGTTCTCCCTCATATGCGGACATTAGATCAAGGGCAAACACAAGGGGATTGAACTTGATCACAAGATAAAAGCAAGTGCACACAAGGGAGATAGGAGGATAGGTAAGACATCTAAAAAATTAGCTAGCATTTGTTGCCCTCAACGCAGAGAAACGAAAGCAGATACCTTAAAAGCAACTGAGGCCAATAGGAGAAGGGCACCAGGAACTAGAGAAAAGGTTAGATCAAAAAGAATTAACCTAGAAGGTAACACACATGCACAGGAAATTAATGTGAGTCAACTCCCTGTATAGCTATCCTTATCTCAACTAGCAAAAACCCTTGTTCCTTCCTATTATTGCTTATACTCTCTCTTCAACAAAATCAGAGATAAGGGCAAAATAGTTTCTGCCAGGTATCGAGGGGGTGGGGGGCAGAGGGAGGGGGCGGAGTGGGTGGTAAGGGGGGGTGGGGGCATGGGGAGAAATGACCCAAGCATTGAATGCACATATGAATAAAAAAAATTTTTTTGGAGTATTTCTATATGTGTATATATATATATATATGTATATATATATATATATGAGATGTCTTGGGGAGGGAACCCTGGTCTCAAAATGAAATTCATTCATTTTTTATGTATTTCTTTTTTGGGGGGGTGGCACTGGAGTCTGAACTCAGGGCCCCATGCTTGATTGCTGCTTGAGCCACTCTGCCAGCCCTCATTTTTAATATTTATCTTATACATATAGCTTAAAGGTCATTTTGTACAATATTTTAACACAATTTTTTAGTGTACCTGTATTTTAGCTGTGGACCATTACATGAGGTCAGGTGTGAAAATTTGGAACTGGCAGTACCACGTCAGCACTCAAAAGTTTTTGGATTTGGATGCAATTTGGATGCTCTACCTGTGTCTGCTAAGCTGCCCATTCCTGGACCTAGATCTGTGCTCCCCAGGCTTCACATAGGCTGGCCATGAGCAGAGCAGTTAAAATTGGTCAGGGGTCATGGCCCCCTGACTTCCCAGAGGCTGGGAAGAAAGAACCCTCTCTACTAACTTTGTTTTTCCAATAAAAGGTAACATTAGGGCTCATGCTGATCAAACTCCATAAATCACTTAAGTTGCAGTTGTACAGGTTTTTATTTAAACAATTACACTTTCTTCAAAGAAACCTACTCACATACATCTTAATGCCCAGATATTCAAGCACCAGAAAGGTGGACAGATACACTTGGCTGGTGAAAGTCCAGGTGATTTAGATTTTGTTACTATTGCTGCTGTCTTCACTTTCTAATTTTTCTATGATGAAAATGGATAATTGATTCATTACTTGTGCAAAGCCAAAAGAAAAAGCCAAAGCATAATTACCTAGAGAGAATCAATTCTGTTTCACATAACAAGTGTATAACCAGTCTGAGTGTTCAGTTCACAACTCTTGTCTTTCGGACATTTTCTGGCTTTTGTCAGAAATCATTGCCCGCTCAACAAGAGGACAGGATCATGTCATACTTGTTTGGTGGCTATGTGGCTCTAGTCCAGCTCAGCAAGCATCTGACAGATAAAAATCAGTATTACTCTGTTCAACTGCTTACACTGAAGCCATCCTGAGACTTTTTCATGGGAATATAGATTCTTTTCTGCACATATGCAGATTCTATCAGTTTGCAAAGTATACTCCATAAAACTAGTGTTCTCTGGACAATAGGTATAGGAAAAAGGGCATGTGTGTGTCTGAAAAACAGACTTCTATCCTGCAGACCCCTGACTGCATGTTCACCATGACTCTGCAACAGGAAGACACTGTGCACAGTTCTTCCCAATCCACTTAGCATAAAACGCCTTTTCCAGGGACCAAGGCTCCCAGCGTACACTGTGGGAGACACTACTCCATCCTTTAATTGCATGGCTCTTTCACCTACCTCAAAAAGCAGAGTGACTGTAAACATGTCCTGTCCCCTGTAATGGGGGCAGGGCAGCAGGCCCCAAAAGGATGCTGTACAGAATGAGGTTGCATGACCATGTGGGACACTCAGACTTGTCACCAATAGTGCTAAGCCACAGACGAAGTGGCTTAGAACCTAGAAAACAAATGAGGAATGGTCCAATAAATATTCACAACTGAACATCAGGTGACATTTTCATTAATTCTGTTTACAGACAGCATTGAGTAATCCTCTTTTTCAGCTCATTTGGGTTGGACAGATGCTCAGATGCTGGGGAAAAGAGAAAACACCAGCCATTTCATTGGCTCAAGGTGCTTTCCAAATACTAGAAGGGCTGTCGTCTTTCCCCAACTCACCACACCAAGGACCTTTCCTGACAAAATCCAATGCATTTACATGAAATAAAGCCTAACTGTACATTTAAACTAAAAAATCCCACTCCAGCTCTGCTAGAGACTGTTATCAGAAAAGTCGGGGCCAAGGCACTGAGAGTTGGTGAATCCACTCTTCCTGTGTGGTAGGGTGAGGTTTATTTTCTGCCCCACTTGAGACCTCAGTGGATGCGACTGCACTGGAGCTGGACAGCAGCTGGTCACTGTAGTCATCACTGCCATACAGCCATCTTGCCCAAAGTGTCCTAATACTGACCCTACAAAGGGCTCCTTATATGAAGAATTTTAGTAGTAAAAAGATTTAGAAAACACTATGCTCTGTTATCTACTTCCTGGAGATTCACAATGTATATTATTACATGGAAGGTTTCAGAAGTCTTTTAATAAAGAAATGCTTAACTTTGCTTATCAGAGTATCCTAAATCAACCTGACCTTGAAATCTCCTTTTTTTAAGGTAACATATTTCTAGAACATATTTTGAGAAATGCTCCTTTATGGCTTTAAGAAATTCTTCGCAGAAGAAAGAGAATAATAATTTTTATGTAAAAAATATTAAGTAACTCCTAGGATCACATGTGGGTCAACAACAAAGTGGTTGGACTGGAGCATGGCTTAGAGGTCGAGCACTTGCCTGGCAAACGTGAGTCTGAGTTCTCCAGACCAACAAAAAAACAAAAACAAGCCAGGTGCTGGTGGCTCACGTCTGCAATCCTAGCTACCGAGGAGGCAGAGATCAGGAGGATTGCAGTTCAAAGCCAGCCCGGACAAACAGTGCGTGAGCCCATATCTCAAAAATACCCATCACAAAAAGAGCTGGCAAAGAGGCTCAAGGTGAAGGCCCCGAGTTCAAACCCTAGTATTGCAAAACCATTAAAGAACATTGAGTCAAGAGGTACAAATCCTATTTTACTTCCTGCCCAACACTGCTGTCATAAACTGAGCCTGCCTGAAAACAAGCAAAAATAAATCATCCGTGATTTCTTTCTTGATGGTATAAGGTGGTCAGCACACTAGTTTCAGTACACAATTGAGCACAGCCCATAAAGAAGCCAAATTTCCTCTTCAGTAACAATCAAATCATTACACGCCTGTTAACACATGACTCTAAGATTTTCCAAAGAGACCTCATAGCTCTTTGTTCCTAACCGCCAAAAAAGGGATAATAAAAGATAGTTTCTAATACTCTTCAGCAAGAATTAAACAGACTAAGAGACAATAACACAAAAGCTCTTAGCTACACATCCCAAACGATTTCAGAGTATGACAGCAAGAGCAGGGAAGGTCGGAAACCAATGATAATTACTGGAATGATGTGAACACTTCACCATTTCAAAATACATAATTTTTAATTCTTGTTTCCAGGGAATTTCATGTGATATTTCGAAACAGGAGACAGGGAAAGCAGACTCGCCCACTGTGGAACCTGGCAAACAAAACCATGATCTATGCGTGGCGAGGCAGTGAACCCACACTCACACCTCAATGGCGATTTTTGCAAATCGATACTGCAGGGAGGCAGGTGGCCTCAGCAGCACCACGCCCCTTGTGGCTGCTGGCTGGCTAGACAGCATAACCAGCAGGCCTGTCACACTCACAAAGCCCAGAGCTTCTCCACAGCCGACAGCCATGGAGAAATCTCCCTGAGTGACGAAGCCGAGGAGGACTCTGGAGCAGTGTGAGGTCACACCCAGAAGGGGGCCTGACCACAGCCCTGGAGTCAGAGCTTCCTGCTCAGCCACAAGAGCTCCAACTGCTAGGCCCTCGGAAGCAGCATGTCCTTGGCTCTTCTTCTTCTCCATCTTCTTCTTTTCTTTCTGTTTCAGGATCATGCTCTTGAATGGGTCGCTGTGTCTGGACTCCTGGGGCCCACAGTAGTGGTGATCCCGGCTAAGCTGGAGCAAGTCCTCCTCCGTTGGGACACAGATCATGGTGTGTGGCTCAGGGCTGCCCTTCCTCAGCACAGACAGGCTGACCCACACCAAGGCCCTGGGGAAGTGGTCCAGGATGGAAAGGCAGGCCTCTCTGGTCAATTCTTGCTGCCCTCTGCTGGAAGCCTGCCGGGCTGCCCGACAGTCCTCAAAACTGGATCCACACCAGGCTGACAGCTGCTTCAGTAACTTTCTACTCCTACATGAAGTCAGAGACATACATTTGAGGATATTTTGTTCAAGGAAAAAATATCCAATTAGAAAATGAGGCATTGCTACAGTTAATTTGATTTTTTATATTGTGTGTGGGAATGTTATCAAAATTACAATTTTTTTTAAAATTAAAAATACAGATTAATATGTTTTAGTAGTGGTATTTTTCTTCTTAGGTGTCCACCATTCTGAAATTGAAAAGTAAAGGTTTAAAGAAGTTGAAGACAAGACTGGAGGTGTGGCTCAAGTAGTAGAGTGCTGGCTTTGCAAGCATGAAGCCCTAAGTTCGAACCCCAGTCCCACCAGAAAAAAAGGAAAAAAAAAAAAGAAGTTGAAGACAGCTGGCAGAGGGGCTCAAGTGGTTCAAGTGGCTCAGTTTGCCTGGCAAGCACAAGGGCCTGAGTTCAACTCACAGTACTGCCAAAAAAAAAAAAAAAAAAAGTTAAAGGCAGGTCTGGGGGTATAGCATGCACAAAGACCCTGGGTATGTATAATCCCCAGAACCACAAAAAATTAAATAAAATAAAAAACTGAATGCTGAGAAAAGTAAGACAGTGGGCTACATCTTAGCGTTATAATCACAGTGCGAGACAATTTTCTCATTTTGATGAGAAAATCTCAAGAGGGAGAGTTATATGTAAAGTAAGAAAAAGTGATATGAAATGATGAGGCTGCTGTACAGAGAGCAAGTCTGAGGTGGGAAAGTAAGCATGAGGGTATTGAGCAGAACTTGCCTGCAGCAGAACTGAGAACAGAACACGCTTCACTGGGGAAGCTGCTACAATGCGACCACGTTACACTGAATGGTTGTGACCCGCACAAGTCCACAGAGATCAAAAGAACCAGGAAAGTTCTATTCAGTGAGGTAGGGCACTTCTTTGTGAATCAAGATTCAATGAAAAAGGCCACAGGGAAAGCTGCCTTGGCATAGAACAGTGGACAACATTATTTTCAATCATTTCATCATCAAATGCTATTATGCTGTTTTCCTGGGCCTTCCATGAAACATCAAAGAACTAGCTTTCCCGTTCCAAAAGTCTAGATATTCATGTGGGGTTGGCATAAAGGAAAAGGTAACTATATCCTGCAAGGTGTTCAATATAAATATAAACAATGCAAAATGTATCTGGAAGTCACCTGTACTTACCTAAGAACACAGAGTTGACTCCCAGTGGCAGCAATGTGGTTCTCACTGGCACCCTGGTCCGGAACCTTCTCTGCCTGGTCTTGACACTCTGTATCCATGACCTCTGGCTCCCTGGGGTCATTTGCAGATAAGCCCGCTTCATCAGATGGCTGATGAGTTTTCTCAGGCATGACCGCATGGGGCACCTCGTGCCTTCTTGGGTCACTTTCCTCAACACTTGGAGCTAAGGCTCCAGGAGATGCACCTTGGACCTGGACTCTGGACTCCCAGTCCTGAGTTAACTGCTCCCAGGGACAGCAGAAAGGTGCCAGAGTGCCAAGCTTAACATAGTTGGGCCGTTTGGCAGGAGGGCGTCTAGAGAAAAAGAAAAAAACTTGATTTTGAACAACTGAAGAGTGGACATTTAAGATAATTATGGCCATTATAACATATCTCTAACCAACAAACACCAAAAAAGGCTTTCCAAGAAATGTAAGATAAAAAATAGTAGCCATCTCTACCAGCCAAGCTTTCTTGTCTTCTTTGTTCTTTAATAGATAATGCATCCACAAAGACGTCCCTGTATTATTTACAAGGCTCTTAGTTCAAGGTTACAATGTAGTTTCTTTCTCAATGCTGACCTCTAGTAACCCTGCCACCTTCCACAATGACAATGTCATTATTAGCTTCCTACATATGCTTCCAGAGACATTTTATATACACAGGCAAAACCCTACATACATATTTCTTTCCTTTTGCTCACTTTTATACAAATGTTGGCACTCTACATACAGTACTTTTTGCTTAACCACTTTTTTCATTTAACAAAATATCTGGGAGAGCATTTTATATCAGCACATCAATCTCCCTCATTCTTTTGTAAAAGGCTGTGTATCTTATTCCACCAAATGAATACATCCTTATCTATTTATAGTCCTCCACTGAAAGACATTTTGGGTGTTGGCTTTTGCTTCTACAAACAGTGCTGCAATGAGTGACCATGAACATATTATACAAGTACAAGCATATCCACAGGATGAGTTCCTGGTGGTTGAACTGCTAAGACAAGGAATATTAGCATTTTTAATACTGGCAGATGCTTCCAAACTGCCCTACCCAAGAGTGACACCAACTGACCTTTCTGGCAATGTATAAATGAGGCAGAACTTTTAAGAAGTACAGTAAAAACCAGGGTCTGACTCAAGAATTCGGGATCAGCCTGGCTGTTGGCCATTACGGCTTGGAGGACTCTTTGACTGCACTGGACTGAGAGTCACCTCAAGACAGGGCCATGTGTTCCTTCCCTCATTTACTTCCAGTGTCCCAGGACTCACATGGAAATGACCTTGCAATCTTAGTCAGGAGTTCTCTTTGAGACTATCTATATTCTCAAGTTTGAACTAAGTGTGTGATGGCCTCCCTGAGAGGAGCAGCTGCCAAAACACTCCCAGAGCACCTGCCACCCCAGGGACCTTTCCAGGTTCAGAGGGATAACCACGGAGCATAATTCAATCCCTTGATTAGGAAAGCCATCTTAATCACAGTGTGTGTAGTGTTGCCACTTGGTGCAGCAGAGCACAATATTCTTCAAACCTGACTTTTGTAGATCCATGTGGAATAAAGTTTGAAAAGTGAGATGTGAAATAATTTTCTAAAGCTTAAAGAAAAGGTTCTCTAGAGAAGTGGAGCCAATTCCCAGTACAAGCTGAGTAAAACAGTACACCTAGGAAATAAAACACAAATTTTGGTTAGACCTTTAAAGAAAAAAGATCTTTTTGGCTGGAGATACAGCTCAGTGGCAGAGTGCTTGCTTAGCATGCAGGAGGCCCTGGGTTCCATAACCAGCACCACAAAAATAAATAAATAAAAACTTCCTTCAACCTGTGAAAAAAGGTAACTATCATTTACACAAATTCTCTCAATATTTCATACTGAAGTAAACAGTGATGCTGGGTTAGAAGGTAGAGGAGTTCTTACTCAGCCCTCCCCCTCTGCTCTCAGTGTATGGCAGTATTAGATGAAGAATGAGAACATGGCTGGTGGGAGGTAGGTGGGGTCTGAGTCAGAAATGGCTTACTATTTGGTAAAACAGTTTCCTACTTCACACTAACATAAGCTCAGGAAAGGCTCGACTAATGATAACAACAATCGCTAATATTTATTAAACACTTATTTTGTTCCAAGTGCTTTATACGTATTAACTCATTTAATGTTTGTGTAGAGACTGGCTAAGCTTTCCACTGAATTCATTTTCTCCTCTTCCTGACACAAGGAAGGTTAGGTTGCACATCCTAACCAACAGAGTATAAGTGGCAGAGACTTGCTCAGCCCTTCCAGGTCTCACCCATTTCCTCTATGCACCTCGTCCCTCTGCCAGCTGTATGCAAAGACCTGAGACCTGGGAAAAAGGAAAAACTACAGAATGGAAGGTACCCAGACCTTTGAAACCCCAGCCCTGACCAAGAACACCACTGTGGACTATGAGTGAGAAATAAAATTGTTTCGCATTAAGCCACTGAAATTTGGGAGTTTGTTTATTCCAGCAAGTAGTACTGCCTTCATTAATAAATCATCCCAACACACTGTGAGGTAGGTTCCTACTAAACTGAGACTCCAAGGCTACTAAGTGGGTGAGCTAAGATACGAAACCTAGGCAGCATCACTTCATTAGCCATAAACTGTACTGCCTCTCAAAAGAACAGAGGCAAATATTTTCATAATATGGCAATTAGAAATAACTTTCTAAGCAGAATACTAAAACTGTGTGAGAAAAAAAATACGTTTAATTACATACAATTGTAAGTCAAGGAAAGCAGGAATAAAAGTATCATTCTCTGCAAGTAGCAATATAAGAAAGACTAAACCAAAAACGCTCTTAAAAATCAATAAAACAGGAATGGAAGAGTAGCTCAGTGGTAGAGCACTTGTGTAGCACACAGAAGGCCCTGGGTTTGATCCCCAACACCACAAAAAAATAAATAAAAACAAAAAAGAATAAAAATCAATGAAGGGGCAAATACACACCAAGAGAAAACGGAGCAAAATAAATAAATAGGCAACATACAAAAAAGACACAAAATGGTAAAGAGCACATAAAAAAAATATCCAACCCCACCATTTTTCAACCATTGGGTGGTCCATATGAAAAGCCTGGTAACAGTCCTGGTTGGTGAAAGTGAGGGGAACTGGCCTCACCTACAGGTGAAATCCTAACTCAGCACAACCATCAACAGGACAATCATGTACCAAGAGCCTGATATTAGACACATCTCACTTGTAGGGAGTTAGCCCAAGGTCAGTGATTGCTGTCCTGACAGCCCCTCTCCAGCAATGGCCAGGGTGGGTACATGGCCTCCTGATGTGGCCAGGCCATTTTTCTCTCCTTCTTCCTCCAGCTTCTCTGAAGCACACCCATTAAGCAAACCACTGGCTCTCCCTTCTTGGTCAAGTTGTCCACTAGCTTTACTGCAGCACTGCCACCACCTCCACTCTCAAACAACTGTCACTCCCTGTGGCCTCAGTGTCTACCTAAATCATCCTTCCATACCCCAACCCATGAGTACTGCACCATGCCTTGCCACCCACCCCCCACATTGTACCTTAGGTTTGGTCATTGCAAACACCTGTTCCACAATGTCAAGTGTGCCACTCTCAGAGAGACCCTCCTGTTTTTCAGTCCACTTACCATCCCCACAATCCCTCAACCATGTCAGCCTCTTATTCATTTATCCTACCATTTCCTCACTGCTCAGTTCCACTTCTTCATCCCTCTCTATCCGCTTAGATTCCATAGTGCACACAACGGTCCCTCCCTTACATGTGCCCTCAATTCCCTCCACCTGGCAAAGGCCATCCTGGGTAGAGCAACTCTCCAGTGCCCCCATGCCAGCCCTCACTGGCAGAGCATGGCTAGAGAAGAACATATAGTCCTGACCAGCCTTAATTCATAAATAAAAAACTCAACTGGATGCTCTCTTACACTTCTTACAAATCTCAATTCAACCTGCCACTCTCTCAGGAAACTGTTTATAGGCCAGGCACAGTGTTCATCCCTATAATCCCAGCTACTCAGGAGGCAGAGATTGGGAGAATCAAAGTTTGAGGTCAGCCTGGACAAAAAAGTTAACAAGACACCATCTCAACAAAAAGCTGGGTATGGTGGTTCATATATGTAATTCCAGCTATGCAGGAGGCACAGGTTAGGAGGATCATGGTCCCAGGCAGACCCCAGCAAAAATGTAATGGGAGATCTTATTTGAAAAATAACTAAAGCAAAAAAGGGCTGGAGTTGTGCGTCAAATGGCAGAGCACCTACCTAGCAAGCATGAGGCCCTTTGTTCAAACCCCAATACCACCAAAAACCAAACCAAACCAAAAAAAACTATTTATGACTCCTCTCTCCTCAAAATTGACAGCCCTACTCCCCTAGCTGGTAACCTCACTGCTTTGTTCACTAAGATAACACTTGTGATACAGACAATGCTACCTTAATCTCTTCACCCAAAATCTCATCTACCTAGATCTATATTCAGACTTCAGATGCCTCTTCCAGCCTATTAAAATGGAAAAACTGACCCAGGCCCATCAGATGCCACCCCTCTACTTGTGCACTGGACTTCAGTCCCTATTCTCTGCTCAAGGGCTTTGCTCTTGTATTGAAGCCTCTCTGACCACTCCTGGATCTACACACCAGCCTAAAAACATACTTCCATCAAGAATAGAAGCTCCACAAAGTCAGGGACAGACTGTCTGATTTCTCTCTGCTGTAGCCCCAGCATCTACAATGGCGCTGGACACACAACAGACTCCCTGTAAATATGTGATAAAGGAATGAACACGTCAGACAAACATAGAGATGTGTAATGGAGATGGGCACATCCGTGCATGGCAAGAAAGTGGAAGGGCCACTGATGTAGAACATTCATCCTGCAAGTCCCTGCAATCCTCCAAGTTCTATCTGAGAGCGGTGATGTACAGGCAAATCTGGTCCATGGTCTTCTTGTACAACTCATCAGCCAAGAATGGCTTTACATTTCCAAATGGTCGAACAAAGCAAAAAAAAAATATTTTATGACACATGAAAATTCTATGAAATCCACGTATGAGTGTTTATAAATAGTCTAACTAAAGCACAGCCACCGTCATTCGTTTGTCATCTGCAGCTGCTCTCATGCCACAATGTCAGAGTTGAGTAGTTGTCATGGAGACTGAAGGGGCCACAAAGTCAACATTAGTTCTCATTTGGCCCGCTACCAAAAAAGTTTGCCAATATTTGGTTTAGAGTCAACTAAATATATCCACGATATATTGTTAAATGAAAAAGGCAGGTTTCAAAATAATATGTACAGTATAATCCTTTTATTGAAAAATTATACCTATGGAAAATATTCATGCAAAAAAATCTAAATATTATTATCAATTATTGAACAAACACATAGAATCAGCAGTTCACAGCCAGCTTAGGCTACATATACAGAGAGACCCTGTCTACAAACAAAAAAGAGCTAGTAAGCTGACAATCCAGGAATGTATCACCATTTACTCATTCGTTCACTCATTCATTCAACATTTGGCAAACAGTTGGAAAGCCAGGCACTGTGCCTGTCTGGTTTCAGCAGCAAATGGGAAGGGAAAACACATCTCACCCTCCACGGAGCTCACACATGAGCAATTCCAGCATTCAATCATTCACTGGCTCATCAGACAAACGAGTTATGAAGACCCTCCATGCACCAGTACTACTGCACATGGCAGATGCTGCAACAAATGAGAAAGAGACAGAGAGAGAAAAGAATTTCTGGGCTTCCAGGAGCCTACAATTTAGGGAGTTGGTAGAGGGGGACAGAAGGGTCTGAAACTCAAGTGAGTTCAGGTGTACTCACTCCATGACAGCCAAGAGAAGGGTTATAACCTGAATGGGCCTAGAAAAGCCAGGTAGATATAAAATAATCTCCTGACTGGAGTAATATCTTCTTAGCTACTTCTTGGTAATGCAGAACTCAAGAAAAATCCCATGAAAGCTCCACATTAGACATCAAGAGTCCCTGTAGCCACTCCCAAACTACTATTCAACATGAGCACATCCTCCTTCTTCTTATCCCCTAAGACACCACCAAGTAGGAAAGCAGCTGCTTACCGTTTATACTTTTCAAGAGAATTCTCAGCTTGCTCTTCAGCAAACAGAGACCCCGCAGGACAGTCTGGGAAATCTCCTGGGATGCTAGGTGTCCTTTTATACTGTGAGTGCATGGCAGCCTCTTTTAACCCTCCAACTCTTGCACCTCGATAGACCTAAAAGAAATGTCAGAAGACACTGCCAACTTACCAGCTCCAGGTGAAACTGTTTAATTGTTTGTATGGGGAAGATGCCCATCAAAAGGACAGAGAAACACACGGTAGGATAATCCTACAATCGGTTACCACACAACAGGAAAAGTGAATGAAATGAAGTGTCATCAATCAACACGGAAAACCCTCAGTGCTGAGTAAATACAGCAAGTAGACAAAGCATTTGCAGTGAGGTCTACAGTTCAAAAACATGTCAGTGTAGTTATTTCACTGTGGGGTATAAGCATTTAATAAAGCTATAAAAACATGTGTGGTGGTGACAAACACCAAATCACCAGAATGGTGATTATGGTGGGAGGAGGAAGGCCAATGAGATTGGAGAAAGGGACACTGAGTACTGCCAGTGAACCCGTACGCTTAATTTATATCAGTACACTATATACTTGAGACATTTTAAAATAAAAAAAATTAAATGGAGTTATTTTTAAATAGTCCCACTTTTTCTTTGGGGGTGGGGGCAGTACTGGAGTTTGAACTTGGGGCCTCCAGCTTCTACACAGGTGCTCTACCACCTGGGAACTGAGACTGGTGCCTGGCAAAAGGGCAGGATGGGGCAAGGGTAGAAGGGTGGATGGCCATGATCAAAGCATATATGGAAATATCACAGTGAATGTGTACAATTAGTGTGTTGATAACACATTAAACAAAATAAAATACATGGGGGAGAAAAAAAGCCTCAAAAATTCACAACATATCAGTACAATAAGAACCTGGCTCCAAGGACTACATGTATAATGCAGCCTGTATCCAGGGTTATACCTGTAAGTGGAGAAATACACCACTCAGTTTCTAAATTGTACACAAACAGAAAGCGCTCAGCATTAGTAACTGTCAGCAATGTACCTTAAACATTGTAACTGTTAGTTGGAATCAAAAAGTAACTTACCAATGGAATCCAGAAAGCCATCCCCCAGCCCTTTGGGAGCAGGACATCCCAGCCACTTCCCCAGCCCAATCGGTCGTCACCAGTCACTTTTCCTGGCTGTTGAATCAAAAGTATAGGTATCTTGGATTCCTGGGGACCTAAAACAAGCTGTGATCCAGGCACCAGCAATTCACTTCTCATCCGGTTTAAATCCTAAAGTGGAAGAAAAGAATTGAAGACAAACAACCTCTGTCTTCTAGGAGATCCTATTGGATCTCTCTATAAATAGCTTTAGAAAATTAAATGTTCTTTTAAAAAGGAACAGAGAGTTCTGAATAAATAAATGTGAGCCATTGTAAGTACAAAGTATTCCTTCCATAGATAAAAGATTTCCTTTAGTACAAAGGCTTTGGTAGAAAATGCCAAATTACCTTAAATTTGGGCCAGAATCTACTAGATGATTCAAAGTCAAAAGTGATAAACATTCATTCTGTTAATCTCATTATCAAAATTAATCTTATATTTTGATACTGGGTTCATACATTTAAGATTTGTCATAAAGTAAAAAAGATACAAACAATTTTAATAATGACTTCTTAAGGAAGAACAATTAGAAAATTTCTCTGGCTCTTGATAAAATTTCTCACCAGGACTGAATGATTTAAGACAGACGTTGCTATAAATTATGTGTTAGTAGAATATAAAGAGATGCAGAAGTAGGTGAGAGGGTCACCACTCTACTGAACACCACCCAAGACACCGCCTCAAACACTGTGCCTCACTGCCAGCTCATGGATACTCTTCAAGGCATGACCAGCCCCAGCTCTTTTACCTTTGCCTGAGCTCCCAATACCAACATGTGCTTATTGTTCATCCTAACAGGTTTCTCTTTAGCCAAGTCCTCCACCTGGGACTGATCTGTCTCCTAAACAGACTGTGGTACTGGGGAGTACCACAGCCCCACACTCCCTACCTTTCCCACGGCATCTGCTCTCCTCCCACACCCCCATCTAGCTGATTGCCCGCTCATTCATTCATCCAAATATTTACTGAGCACTTCTGTGCACAAGGCACTTTTCTGCAGCCTGAGGATATAGTCACAAAGAAGTTGGACATGGCCCTGGCTGGCTCTCTTTTAGGTGAGATCCTAAACCCAAGCTAGAATGTCAGGAACTAATCTTTAAGTCTCCTTTCTCATCTCCTATCTTCCAGCCAACCCCCCAAGTCTTGTCAATTTTACCTTCCAGGAATATGTAGTAAGCCCTAGCCCCTTTACTCCAGCCACACCATAATGCAGGCCACCATATCCAGAGTATTACAAGAGTCTTTTAAGGCCATTCAAACCACGTCCACTCTCCAGCAATCCTGTCCCACAGACCCATTCTAACTGATTCTCCACAGAGCTGCCAGAGAGAAATCCCATCATGTAACAGCCTGTCTTAAAATTTTCAATGGTGCCCTAAATCATCAGTCCAATCCCTATATATCCCTTCAGCTTCTTCTCCTGCCCCACTATTAATTCCCAGCTCCTGACTAATTTGGAGATTTATGAACACATCATCCTGGTCTGGGCCTGGGCCATCATACATGCTGCTCTCACTTCCTAAAATCACTTCCTCACTGCAGCCTTGACCTTGTCCCCAAGATGTCTGGTTAATCTAGACTCCTGCCTGAGTGTAATTCAAATACCAGCCCCTCCCTCTAGGAAGCTCAATTGCCCTAGCCTGGGCTCAGTACTCCTTTCTCAGTCTTCCTCAATACTTTCTTAGGCTTCCTGAATATCGTAAATTTCAACCATGTCCTTCATCTATCCCATCATTTAAGATAATGCCTGGCTCTCACAGGAATTCAGTCACTGTGAAATTAAAGACAGAATATTTAAGGGAAAAAAAAGAATTTTAAAAAATTTCAATCAGGAAATTAACGCTTTAAGAAAAAGTTTCTGTATTTTTCCTAGAAATCATCTTCCCTAAAGAAAAACAAAAACAAAAATCACCATATATATCATGAGTAAAGAATAAGCTATTTGAAAATAAAAGGAAGTCTATGAGAATCCATAAAGTACAAAAATCACTTCATAGTGTCTCTAGAATGACTTTCACCCAACATTCACAATTTTACCAGTAAGCCTTACACTACTAGTTACCTGATCTGAGATTTTATTCTCTGTGACACTCTTACAGATATCTTGGTTCCAGATAAAGCTATGTGTACATTCCACAGGCACACCTTCCAGGAGCAGATGTTTAACTTTCTCATCATCTAAGAGGGAAAAGAAATTGCCTTCAAACCACATCCTTAGATCAATTACATGAAATTCTAATAATTCTGGCAGTAAGATCTTTAAAGACAAGGGAGTATTTTATAGACGTTTATTTAGCTAGAAGAATTTACTTGACAAGAAATTATTCGTATCATTAGTTTCATAGTCTATGAAATAAAAAAGGCTGTTAAATGTTTTTCTTTGATAGTTATTTTTCCATGTATAAGATGCAAGTATATTAAGTAGCTTTAAATAACTGCTTGATTCCACATTTAAGACAATCAGATTCTAGATCTTCTTCTGCCCCTATCCAAAGTCTCTAATAACCCATTTTTATTGATCTATTTATTTCTTTCTGTAAAACTTATTTCTCCATTCCTTTAAGATGAGCGTATTTTATCTTCTGTGAAACCTTCTGCTTCGCCCCTTTGAACAAGCCATGCCACACTAGAAAGGGCTCTACTGGAAAAAGGGAAGGAACATTTTCAGTGATAAACACCTGTAATGATGTAAGACACTTCTATGTGCAGTCATTTAATCATTAGGGGAAAAGAAAATCTTCCAGATTTAATTTTGTTAGACTGAAGAATTAAAAAAAAAAAAAAGTTAAGACAACTCATGATTTTTGGCTACGATTCCAAAATGTCAACACAGAAACATCACTCAAAAGCACATACCTGGGTGGGTCTGATGGCTGGGAAAAAAATAAGATGGAAGTGACCAGGCCACAATGTGACAGATTTCAGGGGAGAACAAAGGTAGAGAAAATTAAATTGGTGAACAGATCTGAGAAGTTACTTCTAAGCAGCAAGTGCTTCAATGCTGTGTGCTGCAAAGGTTCAAATCACCTGTCTAGGAAAGACAAGCTCCATTCCCAACAGCCCCGGTCTACTCAGAATATTTTCCTGTGGAGCCCTTGCCATGGAGTTGAATGTCAGAATTGGTATATTATGCAGTCTGAGCTGCAGACAAAAGAGAAGGCTAACACGTGGGGTCTGAAGGCACAGGATGCACTACTTCATTTTCAAATATGCCAAACGATGACTATTCAACACTAAAAAGAAATGAGCTACCAAGTCCTGAAAAGACAAAGAAGACAGCCAATCTGAAGAAGCTACGTACCATACAGCTCCAACTATATGACATTATAGAAGAGGCAAAATTACAAGGACCGTAAGAAGATCAGGGGTTGCCACAGGTTGACAGGGAAGGAAGCTGCAGCCTTCCAATTCACTCTATTTTATAAATACGCAGACCAGTTTAAGGTACCCAACTAAAGTTGTAAGACTTTTCTTCCCAAGAACAGAAACAGAGAAGTTGCAACAAAATGAGCATTAACTGGACATTCCTGGAAGCCCACTGCAGATGTGTGCTATAAAGGTATATGCAAGAGCTGTAAAAAGGAAAGGGATGCTCTCTCACCTACTATTCTGAAGGCAACTGGACTCTTCCATGCTTTGGGTAATATGGCAAAGTCACATAGCCAGGGAATATTTAAAGATAAAGATTAAAATACCTATGCTGTCTATAGTTATGTGTATGTTGCATACTTTCTTTCTTTTTTTTTTTTCCCCTGATGCGGGGGATTGAAATCAGGTCTCACACATGCCAAGCATGTGCCATACCACTGAGTTAACCCACTAGCTCCCATGTTCCAGTATTAAAGCAAACTCTTCTCCGGAAGACAAGGACTAGTTGAACTGATCTATCAAAATATATCCAAAAATGCTAAGGACAGCGCATAAAGTAAGAGATAGGACAACACATATTCAATTTTTTGGGGGGTTGCTGTTGTTTTACAGTGCTCAGCCCCATGTATGCTAGGCAAGCATTCTATCATCAAATTATATCCCCCACCCCAGATGTGTATTTTTAAATCTCACCTAGAAAATCAGTTACTTACATAGTAAAATGCTATGCTAATGAAGTTGAAAAGATATGCAAAAACATGATATTAATATTTAATTCAAACTTAAGAACCAAATAATTAAATAAACTTTTTCAAAGCATCTGAGAACATACATCTTTACTTCAGGTTCTTCAGGTACCTTCTCTTTTAAAATCTCTCTGATTCCGAGTATACACCGGAAAATGGTTTGTTATCCAAAAGCTCTCCTTTATGGTTTAAGTAGAACCAGAACTAATTTTTTGTTTTAAGTCAAAACAGAGAATGACTTAGATATAGACACAATGGAACTATGTCAGAGAATAAAATTTTAGATCATTCTGATTGAGATTCCTGTAAAGATCAATCTTCTAACTGTCCCAGACCAAAGTACACTTCTACCCTGAGTTTTGATTTAGCTTCCTAGATGAGATGTTAATTTGTTAATAATACTGATGTAATAATAAGTCCTTAAGAAGTATACTTCTTTATGTAGTTCACCTACCAAACAAAATACATCTTCAAAGAAAGCACATTACTTACAAAAGGTTTTAATGAAATACCACAACAATGACTAACAAGATGGTAAATGCTTACCGTGGAAATTAAATCATGCTTTTCAAGGCAGACTTGAATTTTCCTTGAACTAATTCATATCAAGATAAAAGCCTTAAAAAGGATTTAATATAGAATTGCCTCATTCCAAAAAAAGGATGTGAGGTAGCAGCAGAAATGAAGTTTAACTATGGTTTTTAGGAGATTATACGACAGCCAGCATTTAATGGCATAGTACACACTGCAACTTTCGTGGCTACACTAGACCATACTGACATTAAAAAAAAAAAAAAAAAAAGCAAAGAAAGAGGCAACAATTCACTGATTAAGTTTTAGATTCCAAAATTAACTAACTTACCTACGCATCTTCAAACTCTTCTCATCCTACCCACTTTTTATGTGAACTGCTAACAGAGTAAATGATTATCTGCATAATAAGCTATCTAACTATACATAGTTTTTAAAAATCCTAAAGTTGTTAGAAAAAACCCATAAAAAATAAAAATTCTGAAGTTATGACATATTCCTATATTTTTTCTCCCCAAATTCCCAAGCTAATTTAATTCTTCCAACTAATAGTGTTTAAATGAAAGTAAACACAATGAGATATTATCATAATTCCCAGATCACACAAAACTTTTGGCCAGCCCCACTCATTACCCCACCAATCTCCACAAGCCAAACAGCTATCTCAGGCCCCTCTATTCAGTCACAACCAAGACATTCAATACTTCAGCACCTGGGATGGCCTTGCCAGGATTCGAACCTGGATCATCTGTATGGTTAGACAGAGGCTTCCATTGAGCACAAGACCAGCTGCGGGTGCACATCCCTCCCTCACAGTTAAAATTCTGAAACACGGGCATTTTCAGAGAATACAGGATGTAGAGAGATAGGCTTTACTACATACTGAAAAATAAGAGAACTCAGAAAAATAAAAATAAAAAATAAACTTAAGGATCCAGCCACATGGTTTATAGCTAAAAGATGCTTACACACATACACCCCACCATGTCCTTTGACCATAATTCCCTATTAAGGGAGGTAGGTAAAGGCCCCCCTGTAGAAGTGGTACAAGTGGCAGAAACACAATTTCTCACAGATCTAGAATGTTCAACATAACAAGGAAAGCCAGGGTGTTGCAAGCGCTTTACCTCGGCATTTTTCTGGGTTGGATAAAGCTTTGGACCGCTTTTGAGGCAAATTTATTCGAGGATCCCCTACTGTCAATCCCAGAATAGTACCTGCAGGAATTTCTGCTGGTGATGTTATCCCTTTAACAAAATAAAAACAAAACAAATAAATAGAGAACAACAAAAAATATATATATACTTACTTGTATTTTCAAATCTTTCAGGTTTTCCAATTAAAGCTTTGCTTGGACTAATTATTTTAAAATATGCATTCCTTTCCTTCTCATTAATACTTTAAAAGTACTCACAAAGTGAATTTTCTTGCAAAAAATATTAGACTGACAAAAAAGGTTATTTTACAAAATGAATACATACGCTTCTATCAGTGACAACTACAACATCTTTTACAAAATGCAATATGGGTAGTTAAATATAGATATCTGGGTCAGTACCTGACATATGCATTGATCTGTAATATAAGAATGCCAGTTTTTTAGAATACTAACATCACATTCCTTCACTGTTTCATAAACAAATAGGTATGTAGTGATTTATTCACTAACTTCAGGCACCAATCTTACTTGCTTCTCTTGCCACATCATAACAAACTGAGTAGCAGGATTAAAAGCAAAGACTTATCAAAGATCCAACTGGGAATCTCTCTTACAGTACTTCCCACTCTTCCTGTCCTCCCACTATAACCCAGTATTCCCTCTTTATACCTCCCAACAAGTCCAGCACAGTTTCTTGTCTTCGATGAAGGGAAACACTATCAGGGTTCTTACAGGTGTCTATCCACCACCGATGAGGTATCTTTTCTGTGTCCTCTTCCCCCTGAAAAACAACTCCTTCTCAGCAGAAAAATAATGAATCATACTTAGTAACTGTTTTATAGGGCAAGATTTGGTGGCTCATGCTGTCATACCAGCTACTCAGGAAGTGAAGATCAGGAAGATCAAAATTCGAGGCCAACCAGGACAAAAAGTTAGTGAGACCCTCGATCAATAAGGCAGGCATGGTAATGTGTGCCTGGCAATCTAGCTATGCAGGAAGCTTTAGGTAGGAGGCTCCTGGTCCAGGCTGATCTCAGGCAAAAAATGCCAAGACCCTATTTAAAGAAACAAACTGAAGAAAAAAGGGCTGAGGGTGCGGTTCAAGTAGTACAGTGCTTACCTACCAAGTGTGAGGCCCTGAGTTCAAACCACAGTACCATCAATCAATAAATAAATAAATGTGTTATGGTTTTAAGATCTGTCCAACCCCTTTTGTTTCTGTGTCAGGGGATGACTGTTTTATGTAGAGTAGCAAGCACACTATATTTAAAATAGTAATTACTACCATACTCAGCACTCTTCTAATTACAGACCTGGACATTATCTCTTTCTCAAGGCTTCACGTACTAGGAAATATATCCATGATTTTCAGAGAGACGGCCTAATGAAGTCACTTCATACTCCCAGTCTATCATGCACAATTCCAACAAGGGAGGCCTTGGTCCTCCCACTATCACCACCTTCATTACTTCCAATTTGAGCAATAAAATGTTCCTCGCCAAAGGACAATCAAACCAGAACCTTTTGAAGAAATCTCTAGGTAAAGAATATATTGCTACCACAGTATCCTTAGTAATGTAAGATAAAATGCAGGAGCACCTCACTTCTATCTTTTCTGGGCAGAACTAGGGATTGATCAAGGTTTCAAATAGTATTTCAAGTATTGGGCACACACCAAGAGAACTGACAGCCATGACTCATACTGAAGCAGGATGTGTTCTTACAGATCCTAAAGAAGCAACCTATAAGACAGGTGCCACACCATGTCACAGAATGCAAAGAACAAAGCTGAGTGGCTTGGAGTGCAGGATCTAGAACCAAACTTTCTCGATTCAAATGCTCATTCCACAACTTATCAGCCACCACCTACCACCTTCTCCATGCCATCACTATGCTAAGCGCTAGGGACAGAGTAAAGAGCAGGATCAGTCCTGCCCTTGCCAGCATGAAACTCACATCTAACAAGAGACACGGATATCACATAACCACACAAGAAAATCTGTACATCACCTGAGGAAATGTGCGAGATGCTTATGAAAACAACAGAGGGAAAATAATTTAACTTGAGGGGTAAGAAAAGCAGTGTAGATACAGGGAAACGATACAGTGAATGTGACAGACTGAAACTTGAACAGTAAGGAGGTTCAACCACATACAGAGCTATGAAGAGGGAGGAAGAAAGGTGCAAAGGTTCAAAAGAAGCCAAGAAGTGATATATTCTAGAACCTGAAAGGCCAGCATGGCTGAGGTGCAGAGGTGAAGAGAGATGAAACATGAAGCCACAGAGGCAAGAAGGCCTGAGATGACACAGGCCACATGGAAGGCTTTGGCTTTTATCTTAAATATGATGAGAAGCTATTAGAAACATTTAGTCAGGGAGCAACAAGAAGCAGTAAGTTGGGACTGGGGCATATGTAGCTCACTGGTAAAGAACATGCCTAGCATGAACAAGGCCCAAAGTTCCATCCCCAACATCACAAAAAAAAAAAAAGTGAATAAATTTAAAAGATCATATCTCTAAGTTACAAAGCCACTCTGCTCCAGAACTTTAGGCAAGAGACAACAACGGTAGAGACTAGCATGGAGGCAAGGATGATGGAGGAAAGCTGCTTCTGTACTTCTAAAGGCTCAAGATTCATTCAGCTGTATTATCGTATCTGACCATGTCAAATCTGTGAGGCACAGGCACTGAAAGTTAACCACATTTGGACAGGAAAATGGATGGGATCTAAACCCAGAAGAGTGCATTCCTGATCTAGTCTGCATGCTCTATACCTGCAGTGTGCAACACAGCAGCCACAAGTCACAAAAAGCCACTCAAATCTAATTTTTTTTAGTTCACATGTCAAGTGCTCAAAAACCTCATACATGGCTCCCATATCAGAAAGCCCAAAGGAATGTCATCCTTGCAGAGTTCTGTCAGAAATGCTGAGCTAGGCATGCTGCACTTAACCTTTTGGGGAATCACAGGAACTAGTCCCAGAAAATATAAATCACGTAAGTTAAACACATGAAACCTGGAATACAATTTCAGGGGGTTTGAGGATAACTATTGACACCTATGCAGCAGACCCTTTCATAAGACTCACAACTTCTAGAACAGACAGTGTAAATAATAGTTTAGTTATCACATCCTCATAGATTAGGTCTTCTAGAAGTGAAAGATAAAAAATAAAAAAACCTTTTATTATAAGTAGGGAAATAAACATTTTAAAGCCATAGCCCAAAACGTTATAAAATTATATATCAGGTTTCACAAATTTGCCAAGGAAAATATGCCTAGGATAAAACATGCCAGCTGCCTTTACTCTTACAATGTGGACAGAAGCAGCTTTCAGAGCCTCAGTTAAGATGGAGTGCGAAAGGGGACCAATCAGCCGGAATCTGTTCATCTCCATCGTCAAGTCACTGGAAGAGAAAACACCATAAAATGGAAGCTTCCACCACATACAGCATCTGCTGTTGGCAGAAATGGGCTGAGTCCTCACTGACAGTGTCAGCAGGCTCAGCAAATGCAGCTCATACCTGATTATGATGCCCGTGGTTACAGAGAGCCAAGAATATGGTTGACATGGATCTCTAGTTCCATCACCGATAACCTTTTTAATTGGTCTAGCATTTTCCCCATCATCTTTCCTTTTTCTTTTCTTGCCAATTTTCTCATCAGCCAGTTCAGTTTGTTTTATTTCTTGAGATGGTGTCAGAAGTGGGTTAGGTATGCAGGCATTTGATTTGGGTTCCAGACACAGGCATACTGTTTTTATTTCCTCTAAGATATCCTAAGGATATATTTAAACATTTACATTTAACTTTTGAAATTTAAATGCAGTATTGAAATTTCATTGTTGCTTTTTCAGTCCTTTAAAAATTCACAAACCAGGTATAGTGGCTCATGTCTATAATCCCAACTATTTGAGAGGCAGAGATCAGGAGCACTGAGGCAGAAGGCCAACCCAGGGGAAAAAGTTACCAAGACCCCATCTCAATCAATAAGGTGGGCGTGGTGGCACATGACAGTTATCCCAGTTACATGGGAGGCCGTGGGTAGGAGTACACCTGAGGACAGCCCCAGGCAAAAGCACAAGACCCTACCTAAAAAATAACTGAAGCAAAAAGGGGTTGGAGAAGTGGCTCAAGTGGCAGACTGCCTGGGTAGCAAGGATGGGGGCCTGAGTTCAAACCCCAGTACTGTCATAAATAAATATTCACAAATGAAGCTAATTTTATCATCCCCAAAAGCTTTTCTATCAGGGCACTGTGGCTCATACCTATAATCCCAGCTATGCAGAAGCCGAAAAGAAGTTCACAGTTTGAGGGCCAGTCCTGGGCAAAAAGTACCAGACCCTAAAGCAGTAAGGACTGGAGGCAAGGCTCAAGTAATAGAGTGCTTGCCTAGCAAACGAAAGGCCCTGAGTTCAAACTCCAGTATTGCCAAAAAAAAGGTTTTTTTTTTGTTCTGAGTATTGTAGAACACTTTGAACAAAAAAAGAACTATTTGTGGTCTGCAATATGAAAATATTGAGAATGTTTTAAAAAAAAAAGGGTAAAGGGGGAAGCTAAGCTAAATGCAGAATTAAAAGACATTAGAGTGACTCAAAACACCTACTCATTATGAACTGGGCTCTCACAAGCAGTTTTACATCAGTGAATTAGTTCAAGTATGATGGAATCATCAGTCCAAACATCTCAAATTCCCTTTAGTTTTCTGCTGCTTATGACTTAAAAGTGAGAGGTCAAGATTTGCCTCATCCTGTAAGATGGGAGAGTTCTGGAGATCTAGTAATGTGTAACACGTATGGTGATGGATGCGTTAGCTAATTTGATTGTGGTAACCACTGCATAATGTGTACATATATCAAATCATCACAGTGTATACCTTAAACATACTGACAATTTGCTAATTAAGTATTTTTAAATAAAATTTTAAAAAGTTTGCTTCGGGCTGCAGGCATGACTCAAACAGTATAGCAAATGCCTAGCAAGTGTGAAGCCCTGGATTCAAACCCTAGTATCGCCATTACCAAAAAAGCAAAACAAACAAACAAAACCTCTATAGGGCTGGGGTGAGTGTGGCTCAAGTGCTTAGCAAGCTCAAAGCCCTAAGTTTAAACGCCAGCACTGCAAAAAAACAAAACTTGCTTCATTTCAATACGCACAACTTTCCCCTTAGATTCTAATACCAAAATATTAGACAAACACTGTTTATGTTATTGACTTCAAATGGTAATTAAGAATGGTAACAGAGAAACAAGGAAATAATCTAAAGGATGATACCCGTTTAAGAGCTGGGTGAAGCCAGATCCACAACTGCCTGCTCTCACAAGGATCACCGGGGGTCCTCTCAGACTTCCAAATAAACGTAACAGGCCCAAGCATTTCTCTGGGATACTTATTTGCCCGGTAAAGCATGAGGCTCCCTTGCCGCTTTCCAGACAAGCAGTGAACTGCAGCAAATGTCAGACCTGATATAAACACAAGCAAAACACCATGATTTCAAGTGTTGACAATGTCATACTATTTCTCGATAGCCACAGGAAACTGTTCCCATCAGGGATGAAGTTTTTTTGATCATGACTTAAATGAAAGCCTAGTACACAATCACTGCTCAAAATACATATTAAATGAATGATTCAGTGGGAGTTTTGAGTTGTTTCCTGCCTAAGTTCACTCCACCAGAATAAAGATTCTCTTACTTTACACTGGACAGTGTTATAAAAGATTTAAATGTTACCCCAACTTACCTTAAATTGGCATACTCCTTGGGAACAAGAATTGTCTCACACATTATTACATATGTCTAAATTCAAAATGCTTACAGCAGATACTTATTTACGAAATAAATAAATATGCAAAGACTAAAATAGGACCCAGCTTTGAAACAAGGTTACCTGTGTCCGGGCTACACATCTGAGAAAGTGCCTTTAGTATTTCTTCCTCTTTGCCCTTCAACTCCAAACAACAGTAGTAGGATAAATCCTGAGTGAGGGATAAATACAATTAAATCCTTCAGAATGTGCATGAGGCAAAACTGCTAGGAAAAGCCACACCAGAAAATCTGTAGAGGTCTGAGACACAGAACAAATTACCAAAGCTAGCTTTTCAACAAGTGAAAATCTGAATCCTGGTCATTCCCATTGCATTAGCAAATATTCCTAAATCAATCTGAATCAAAATAAAAATGAGTCTCCACTTAAAATATTACAGTGTCCTGCTTTTCAACGAGCAAAGCTGCATTTTATCCATATTCACCGGCAAGTTCAAAGTAAAAACTGCAAAACTGCTGCTTTTAAGTAAAGGATTATTCATCCCCAAAATCTACATAAAAAACCAAAGTAAAGGAAGCAAGACAGTAATAAATTCTACAAACCTATGCGAAGGTTGCTCACTTTGCTTAACTAATACAGGAAATCAAGATCATGGAACCTGAGCCGAGAGGCCCTAGTTGAGATTAATTTATTCTACAGTCCTCCCATGCTCAGTCTCGATCATGATATGCAACTCTGACTAAGCAATGTGGAAGGAAAAATGAAAGCAATGGGAATAAGAATGTGCCAATGTAAACAAGCGGGGATGGGACTGAGTCAGCGAAGCCAGTACTAACGAACACAGCAATAGTTAACAGCCACTGTAGACAAGTCTTCCCAGCCCCTCACAGATGAGGGGACGCTAAGGCACAAAGGTAGTTACTTATAAAAAGCCACAGTCAGGTGGAGCCAGCACGCAAGTCAAGCTAAGTGACCCCCAAATGAGCCCCTCTGCTACAGCACCTTTAAGTGATTTCAGTACACTCAGCAAGTGCAACAAAAGATAAGCTATAGCTATGGTTCTGACAAATTCAGGTCTATCACTGCCATTACATACAGAAATCTTCCTAGATTCATAGACTCACTCACAGTTAACACTGGCCAGATGAACCTCACCAGATTTGTACAACTGGATGACAGCACAGAGCAATGGTCTGGAGACAAACGACCAGGACTCAAAGTGCAACCTCACCACTCATTGATTGTAACTAACTAACCTCTCTGTACCTCAGTTTCCTCAACAGTATAACGGAAATAATGGTAGCTACCTACTTCATGCTATTGTAGGGATTAAATGAGCAAGCATATATTATACAATAAACACAGGGCTGGGCACATTTTAAGCACCAAAAGTATTTGTTATTATTAGGTATTACTTAGGGTGATCAAATGTTAAGGGAATATTTAATAACTTCAGCAAAATTCCGCCCCAAATGAGAAGTACTTCATTCTGAAATAACTGACTGACAACTTCAGAGATGGCAGAGTACAGTGGATAAAGCCAAGAGAATCAGGTGCCAGTGCTATAAGCCACCAACAAGCTATATGGCATTGGGCAAGTCACTTCATCTCTCTAAAACTTGGCTTCCTCAATGTAAATGAGGAACTTGACTATAATCATGTCTTCTGATGCTGAATCCTCAAATCAAAGGCACTTAAAAGGTTCATATATTCACTTCATACCATTAGAATGGCTATCATCAAGCAAACAAAAAGCAGAAAATAAGTGCTGATGAGGAGGTAGAGAAACTGTCACCTTTGTGCATTGCCAATAGGAATGTACAATGATACAGCTGGTATGGAAAATGGTATGGTAATACCTCAAAAAATTAAACTCAGGCCAAGTGTGGTGGTGTACACCATTATTCCCAGCACTCAGGAGGCTAAGGCAGGAAGGCCAGCCTGGGGGCTACATAAGTGAGTTCTAGGCCAGCCTGGGAAATTCTGTCTCAAAACAAACAAACACAGAATGAACATAAGATCTAACAATTCCACTTTGGATTATACATCCAAAACAGCTGAAAGCGGGGACTTGAATATTTATACACCCATGTTCATGGCATCATTATTCATAACAATCAAAAGGTGGAAGCAACCAAAGGTCCACTGACAGATGACTGACAAATAAGACATGCTATACGCATACAATAGAATACAATTCAGCCTTTAAAAGAGGAAATTCCAACATGGGCTGTAACACACATGAACCTCAAAATATTACACTAAGTGAAATAAAAAAAATACACTAAGGAAAATAGTAAATAATTCCAGTCATATGAGGTACCTAAAGGAATGAAATTAAAAGACAGAAAGTAGAGCAATGGTTGCCACAGCCAGGGTGATGAGAGAATCTTAGTGTCTAATGGGCACAGAATTTCAGTTTAGGAAAATGAAAAGGTTCTAGGGATGGATGATGGTGAGAGTTGTACAATGTGAATGTACTTAATGTCAAAGAACTCAATGCTTAAAAATGGTTCCATGGTAAGTTTCATGTTATATATATTTTATCACAAATTCTCTAGAAAGGGTTCTTGTGTTGATTATTCTACTTATAATGCTCTCAAGAGGTATCAGAGGACACCAATATCTATCTATGGCTTTCAAAACTTGCCAAACACCATCTTACCATTAAAAGGTATGATCTTCTGCAAGAAGCAAATTTTTAAATATGTCTAGAAAAGTGAGAAGGCAATGAATTAGCAGTTGGGGAGAAGAGCAATAGATAAACAGGATTAATGCTCTGAGGCAAACTATCCTTTCAAAGAGAGCTTGCCACTGAGTCATACTCACCTACCACAGGGTATCTCAAATATCTGCTGGTGGTGAATGACCATTAAGATTAATCTATACTGAGTGAATTTTTTTTTTTTGGCAGAACTGGGGTTTGAACTCAGGGCCTCATGCCTGCTAGGCAGTGCTCTTACAGCTTGAGTCATTCTGCCAGCCCTTTTTTATGATGGGTTTTTTCGAGACAGGTTCTTGAGAACTATTTGCCTAGGGCTAGCTTCAAACTGTGATCCTCCAGATCTCTGTCTCCTGAGTGGCTAGGATTACAGGCATGAGCCACCCTGACTACTGAGCAAATCTTAATGTGATAAGACCATGCATGAGCCAATTCCCAGATAACAATGATAGCCCTGCTCTCACTCTCTCTACCTCTGCCACAAAGATTCTAGCTCAAGCTCTTCACTCTTACCTGGTTTCCTTCTGTCCCCTCAGTTCCATCTCCTTATCTCTTAAAGTCAGCCCAAACATCACTGCCAGTAAAAGCCTTCCTGTTTTTGCTAGAAATGTTCGAACTGAACTTTCATACCAGAACTGCATATTTTTCCCTTACAATCATGTAATTTGATTCATGTCCATCTCCCCCACTAACTTCAGGCTGCTTCATCTCCAGCACCTAGCAAAGCACCCCAGCAATCATTTTTAAGACGGATAACCTCAGAGATAAGACTGGGCAAACCATGAACTATTCTAAAGTTGACAATGAAAAGAGACTAAACAAAACCAGAAAGAAAGCCTATTGGCAAAGCATACCTGAAGGAGGCAAAGGTTTGTCATGGCTCGGTAGCAGGCTCTGTGGCTCTTCACTGTTGGCCTCTCTCCGAGGCAGTAGCCCCACTTCTTTACCATGTGAAACCGCTTGGCATGCCAGATGTGAGTTTCTAACCATATGTTCTTCTTTTGTCTACGGTTAAATTCTAAAATTCGGTTTATGTGACATCTTCGAGCTTTGTGGCATTTATTTTTGGAATGTTCTTTTTTCTGATGTACAGCCTTCTCTGCCTGTTGTTTGAATAAGAGAGGCAGATCCTAGTTTGTAAACATCTCAGAACAAATTAAACACTAGGAAATCAAACAAATAAAGGACCCCATTAGTTTGCTTAAGTTAAATTGGTGGCTTCTCCTATGTAAGCAGAGAATGGAGACAATGAATGGAAAGGGTAAAGATTTTAGGAATAAGCAGTCCTAGGAAGGAAGCGTGTTTCTAACACTCACTAACTAGGCAAACTTAAAATACTTACAAAACGTTCCCCACAGTAACATAAGTTTAATGTGGCTATTAGTAAATAGAATAAATCAAATGCTAGCTTCTTCTCGTTATTTTAACCTGTAAGATTGTAACTAACACTAAAAACTTAAGATCAAAAACACAAATTGAGGAAAGCCTATTCATTTCAATTCAGTTAGGCTACAAATGCGAAATTCTATAAGGGAAACATCCCTTAGATTAAATATAGAAAGTACAATGTCCCTATTTAGTTTTTACTCTTTCTCTTTTTTTTTGGATGGGGACTGGGGAGTGGGAACTGAAGTTTGAACTCAGGGCCTTGTTCTTACTAAAGGCATGCTACCACCTGAACCATACCCACAGCCCTTTTTGCTTTGTTTCGGGTGGGATTTTTTTTTTAATGTTTTAATTTTTTAATTTTTTTGTTTGTTTGTTTGTTTTTAATTAATTTATTTATTTATTTGGTGGTACTGGGGTTTGAACTCAGCTCCAAGCTTGCCAGGCAGGTGCTTTACAACTTTGGTTCTCCTCCAGTCCTTTTTCTGCTGTGGTGATTTTAGAGTCTGGGTCTCACTTTTTGCCCAGGCCAGCCTGGATTTCAATTCACCTATTTTACACATACTGCTGTCACTGGGATAACAGGTACATGTCACCATGCCCAGCTTTTTTCTGTTGAGATGGGGGTCTCACTTTTTGCCTAGAATGGCCTTGAACCATGATCTTCCCAATCTTGGGCTCCTGCAGAGCTTGAGATAACAGGCATACACCATGCCCAGCTATTGGCTGACATAGGGTCTTGTTAATTTTGTCTGAGCTGGCCTCAAACCGCAGTCCTCCAGATCTGAGCCTCCTAAGTAGCTAGGATTACATGCATGATCCATTGGTACCTGGCTTTGCTTTGGTTATTTTTTATAGGGTCTCGAGTTTATGCCTGGGCTGCCTTGTATGCTTCCTGTGAAGCTGGAATGACAGGCAATGTACCACTGTGCCCAGCTTTTATCGTTTGAGATGGGGTCTCACAAACTTTTTTGCCTGGGCTGGTCTCAAACATTAATCCTCCCAATATGTACCTCCTGAGTAGCTAAGATTATAAGTGTGGGCCACCACACCCACCTAGTTTTCACTGCCAACGTCTATTAAAAAAAAAAACAAAACACTCTACTAATTTATGAACCCCTTAAGGATAAGGATACCAGTTTGCTGAACTCTAACCACCACAAATATAGTATAGTACAGAGAAGGCTATTAAATAAATTTTGACTCAATTAGTTAAGACATAGCTAGCTCAAACAATCTTAGAACATTAAAGTCCAGAATTCTGGTGAAGCCAAAACACAATTAGACTTGTACAAAAATTATAACCACGTTCAAGATTTCAACTTGGAAAATGTCAAATGATACCTAATGATGTTTTTTTTTTTTTTTAACCTTCCAGCCCCAAGCTGGCCACACCCCCCAAACCAATTATCTGGTAAGAATGTCAGAATGTTTTTAATTCTAGGAGAGGAACATCAACTATTTCACACCATTAAAAAAGAGGGGTTCCAAATGCTGTATCTTAAAGGTAGCTAAAATATCCAACTGCCTGCTAATTTGGCTTAGGAAGGGTGAGGCAGGCTGGATATCATTAAACCAAAAACATGCAAAAGGAAAAAAAAAGAAAGAATACCACGATGTCCTCGAGGACTGCTAGCGTAAACACTTACACCAGGTGAAGCACCTACCTCTCTCTGGGCCGCCTCCTGTAACCGTCTGGGGAGGCGTTTGACGCTGTGGCTCATGGCTCTTCGCCGCATGTGGCGTGGCAGAGTCTGGAACACCAGTGAGTTAGAAGCCTTCTGAGTCACAGCTTTCAACATAGCACTGATTTCAGCAGCTCGTGCTTGAGCAAAAGTGGAAGCTGTAGAAGAAAATGTCAGTGTCACTAAAAGCAAGTCGAATCCACAGCTGTTCTGGTGGAGTTCAGAGGGAAGACCATAAGCTTACCCGCCACCCTAACACCCACAGATAAATTCTGATACTGGCTACTTCTGACTTATCACCACTTTTACATCTTCCGTGTTTCCTGTAAGGATTCAAGTCTACTTTACTAATCGGGGGGAAAAATTTTTTTAATGACAACTTCGTAAAGAGGTTTTAAAAATAAGAATCTACATGCAGTATTTAGATATACAAAATAATCACAATTTTTAAGTGCAATAATCACACAGGGAAACAAAGAAAAAAATGTCAATAATGGTTTTGATTCTATGGGATTTTTCCTTAATATTTCCTGCTTTTTCTAAACATGTAACCATTATTATTTGTTTTTCTTACTGAAAACAGATTCTCGCTGGGTGTATGGCTCACTAGAATTCTAGCTACTTGGGAGCCAGAGATCAGGGAGCTCACAGTTCAAGGCCAGTCCAGGTAAGAAGTTAGTGAGACCCACAACTCAACCAATAAAAAGTTGAGCACAGTAGGAAACACCTGTCACAGGAAGCATAAATAGGAGGATTGCAGTTCAGGCCAACCCAGGCATAAATGGGAGAACTCTATCTCAAAAATAACCAAAGTTTGGTTGAGTGCCAGTGGCTCATGCCTGCAATCCTAGGTACTTGGGAGGCTGAGATGGGGAGGATGGCAGCTTGAAGCACCCCCCAAATAGTTTGTGAGACCCCATCTCCAAAATAACCAGAGGTGTGACTCAAGTGATAGAGCATCTGCCTTGCAAGCACAAAGGCCTGAATTCAAACCCCAGACCTACCAAAACAAAGTAAAAAATAATCAAAGCAAAAAGCGGTTGGGGTTTGGCTCAGATGTTAGAGTGCCTAACATGCACAAAGCCTGGAGTTCAAACCCTAATACTGCAAAAAGAAAGAAAGAAAGAAAGAAACTAAAAACCAAACATTCTTTTTCTGAAAACAAGTGCTAAAGAAATTTAAGTGAATTCATTTACAGGGGAGGGTAGGAATTCAGGGGAACAGTTCACAAAGATCTATGAGATGGATAAGAAAAGGGAGATAATCTGAAGGGAGAGCCATTAAGCCTAAGGAAGTTGTGGCCGACAGTCCAGGCAGGAGGTAAGAAGGGCCCAAGTGCACGGGAGAGAGGTGAGGAAGGCAGAGCCCAGGCAGTGCAGAGGGCAATTCACTGGCATATCTGGCTACAGTAGAAATACAAACTTCATAACACAATCAAACTCCTTACAAATACCCACCCGTTATATACTTGGGAATCTCCTGAGAGGTGCCCTCAGGACCTGCTTTCCAGCCTCCCTTCTTTTTAAACATGTTTTTTGAAGAAGACTGCTCATTCACATCAGGCTCAGATAGTGAATGGGAGGCCATCTTGGTTTGCCGCTGTCTTGAAGTTCCAGAATGAGGCTCTAGGGCATTTTCAAAAAGAAAGTAAAAACAAATTTGTCACTTCTTACCAGAGACAAGGATTAGAGTAGAGAACTAATTAATCCTTTAATCCTATGATCACCCTATAAAATCGCTATTACTATCTTTTTTTAAAGGGAAAGATCAAGTAGGAACGTCATTCCCTACCTGTCCAAGCACGAGCCCAAGGTCACAAAGTTAGAAGGCAGGAAAGTAGGAAAGTACAGCATATAAAGAACACTGAATGTAAGACATATACACAGAAATTGACTCTATTGCATATTTACACTATGCACTATGTGAGGACTCAGCAAGAAGATGCCTGTGAACCGGAAAGCACCCCTCACCAAACACGGAATCTGCTGCTTGATCTTGACTTCTTAGCCTCCAAAAGTGTGAGAAATAAATTTCTGTTATTTAGAAGTTGCCTAGTTTATGGTATCTTATTATGGCAACCTGAATGACACTCCCTCAAATACTATAATCCACATGATTTTGCATCCTAATTGTCTGGCATACTCAAGTTAGAAGGCACAAAGGAATGAGAAGCAGTCTCTTTGCAAATGTCTGGGCATTTAAACTACAGAAACTATCAGATATGTCAAAGGCGAGGTCAGCAGAGAATTTTACAGCATTCCTGCTTATTTCCACTGGACTGTGAATTATGAAACCACTATAATCTGAAATGTTACAAGATTTGTCATTGGAAAGTTTAAAAGGCAAAAGATTTACACGATTTGAAGAGAAACCAGAATGTCATTGGAAGGTTTAAATAAGACAAAGGCTTATCGTGGTAGTCCTCAATTGCTGGATCTGAATCTAGATCTCATGAATTTAAATCTAAAATCTATGTAATCAGACCCAAAGAATACTGTTCTTTAAGGCAGGCCACCTCCTTTTGCTGTCTTCCCAACCAGCATTTTCCATTGCTATCCGAATGAACAAGTGTCACCTTCCTATCACCTCCTAAGGGTTTAAAATCAGCAGACAAATTAAATAGAGATATAACAACTGTACTATATTTCTCTTAGAATACATAGAAATATAACTTAATAAATGTTAAGGTAGAAATAAAATACACTACTTCTGAAATATACAGTCATACTGTAGTAACTAGGTTCAATAAAGTCACAGTGAACAATGAATTAGCAAATACTGACTCTCAGCTCCTAAAGGAAATAGCTATCTATCTATCTATCAATCTAAAGAGAGAGAAGTCTCAATCTCACCTAGATTAGTTTTAAATTCCAAAAACAACTCATCCTGATAAATTCTATTTCCTTTATTTCACAAAAGAGAAGTTCAGAAGTGTTCAGTAACTTGGACAGGGCCAACCTGAGGTTTAAGACTCAAACCCCAAGCAGAGGTGATGCTTCTTGTACCACACTTTCTTCTTGCTCTCTGCATGTCCAGGAATGACCGCCAAAGCTCCCCAAGTGCTGATTTGAGGGTTACAAATAAATGTTAGCAGGTAGGCAAGTTTGTACATATGAATTTGTGCTGGACTCTTTGGACTAGTGATATAATGTAAATATGAATTTTGAGAATGAGAGTTTGTGGTTTCTGTTTTTACATCAGCTCATATATTACTTAGAAGCTGATTATCCAAAGGAGCTGGCAAAAGCAACCGAAGTAGAAGTGGAGAGACCGTAGTGTGCATCTTACCTTGTTTTTGAGTTTGGAAAGGTTTACCCCCTCCATTAGGGTACTTCACACTTCTCTCAGCCAAAAAGCCAGAGGATAAAGTCACATTAGTGGGCTGGTTTCTCATTTTCTTAGCATGTTTTCTTTCTTTTGCATTAGACATTTCTGGAAAGGAAGTAACAAATTTAATACAAGGGGAGGGAATAGTCATTCAAAATAAGAAACTGAGCCAGGTGCCAGTGGCTCACACCTGTAATCCTAGCTACTCGGGAGGCAGAGATCTGGAGAGGCAAGGTTCGAAGCTAGCCCCAGTAAACAGTTGGAGAGACCCTATCTCAAAAATACCCAATATAAAAAGGGCTGGTGGAGTGGCTGAAGTGGTAAAGCACTTGCCTAGCAAGCGTGAGGCCCTGAGTTCAAACCCCAGTGTCATAAATAAATAAATAAAATAAATATTTATGTAACTCAAAATTTACTATAATAAATCTTCATTTACTATAGATGGATTGATAATTCCAAATGTTGCCATAATATTAATCTATAGCAGGGATTCCTAAAAAGGGAAATTTCAAGGAGGTCATGAATAGTATTAATACCAATAACCTGTTTCAACAGAAAGAAACAAGTTTATGGATGGAAGGGTCCCCATGGGTACATTCTGATCTACACTGCCAAACAAATCATACACAAATGTTGACAGGGCACACAGGGTGCTGGAAGAATAAAAAACGAGCTGAGATAAGATCACTATGCATGACAAAAAAATTAAATTAGTTAAAACATTTTATCTTGATTCTTAGGTGAAATAAGAGCCACCAAAATCAATGCTATAGAACACTGTATTCCAAACTGAACGTGAGTTATTGATGTTTTCATGTATACTGTGATATGGCTTTAATCTACAATAGCAATAGACAATGATTATCTTTCTTTTATTTATTTATTTATTTTGTTTTTTTGAGATGAGGTCTTGCTATGTAGCCCAAGGGGGCCTTGAACTCACAATCCTCCTGCCTCAGGCACCCTGTTGTTGGGAGTTCAGGTGTGTACTACCATGCTTGGCTATATAATGATTTTGATTTGAAGCAAAAAGGATAAAGGCTAACAGTCTTGAGGAGCCTGATTGATTGACTTAGTAATTTCCAGCTCTGAAACTCAACACCCCCCTTTCACTGATTCAGTTTGAAACTTTTTTATATTTTGAAAAATAATATTACCCTCTAGAGACATAGCTGTTATCAGTACATACCCTACAATATATGCCCTAAATGTAACATAAAGAACTAATAAATAAGGGCTGGTGGAGTGGCTAAAGTGGTACAGTAACTGCCTAGAAAGCCTGAGGCCCTGAGTTCAAATCCAAGTACCACAAAAAAAAACTAATAAGTAATTTTAATTTTAATAAAATATGTATTTCTGTATGTAACTCTTTCACCCCCAACTATACTAGATGACATTATGAAATAGAGATTTTGAACCCATCAACACAGGGATCAATACAGGCACTGGCACAATCCATAAAGTTGAAAGGTCCTAGAAACGCCCACCCCACACAACAGTGATTAACTCTTTCACCGCTGACTGTAGGGAAGTCTGAAAGGCCCTGCATGGAGACAAGCCTGCATTTCACTATTTAAGCATTAATCTGTATTTTTACCTACACACAGAATTACCATGTAGGCAACAGCTATAAAGACAAAGCAATACCTGTGTTTTATACTTGTGTGTCAGGCTGGTGGAGTAACTCAAGTGCTACAGTGCCTGCTTAGCAAGGGTGAGACCCTGAATTCAAACCACAGTATGGTCAAAATACATAAAAAGGAGTAATATACTTGTTCCTCAAAGAGAAGGTAACAATGCCATCGTTGACATTATTTTCCAAGTTGGTGAACACTCCTCAGCAAAGTACTCCCACACCAAATGGCACAAACTTCCTTTGATTTATTTCATGCTTACAAAATTTGAATTATATTACAGCTGCATCACCAACCCTTTATGTAAAAAGATTTAAGTACTGGGCTACTGTGGGACTTTTTCGCACAGGCAGGATGTCTAACATCCCCAGCCCATGCTCAACAAATGCCAGCAATGTTATTCCAATCATTATGTCAATCAAAACACTGTACAAATTTCCAAGATGTCACATCAGGATTTGCACCACTCCCGTAAATAGCCACTAAATTAACTAGCGCCCACTTAAGCACCTCCTTTTCCAACACAACACCTCCTACAAAAAATGAAGAGTTGACTGTGTGGTACAGTATTTAAGAGCCTTCACTTTGGAGTCAGAAAGACCTGGATTTAAATACCTTCCTTTACACTTTTTAGTTCTTTAATCCTTGAACAATTACTTTCCCTCTTTGAGCCTTTCCTCTGCAAACAGGAATGATAATTAAATAAACTTAAAAAATATAAAAGGCATTAGCTTTACAAAATGTATACATATAACTCATTTAGCACAGGGCTTTGCACGAACTAAATGCTCAGTTTATAATAGCTCTTATAACTCTTAAATAATAAGTAAAATAGCAGGGATTTATGTCATTTCACGGTCTCACTCCACTCTATCCCCAACTAAATGAAAGACAGCTATATCTATACCCCCCAAAAATTTTCAAATTGAACAAAATGTAAGAAATGGAGTTCTACAGTACTGCTTGGCTAGTCAAAGACACAATTCAGATTAGTCTGCGTTAAGACCAATCCAAAATAGTTTACAAAACAATTAGTTTACCTACTGCTACCTACTTAAATCAGAATTTACCCAATAAGGAAAAGCACTATCCCAAGACCCCTGGTTCTCATCAGGATTAGAATTAGTAGGCTGGGAAATTAAAGTAATCTTGGGACTTTATGGCTCTGAGCCTTGGTTCTAGATTAAAAACCAAACTGAACTAGCAGCAGTACTCAAACAGTTCCAACAGCAGATAGGAATGATGAATAAATAATGTGTCCTTATGAAGTGAGTTCACTTAAGTTTCTAGAAGGATCTTAACACATAATATTCAAGTCAATTTTACGTCTATTCCTAATAATCATTGCTTGTTTTCCTATTTACTTATTTCTTTTTTTGTCTTTGTATTCAGAATCAGTCAAAACTTTAGAGTGCTAAATATATGCCAGGCTTTCTTTTTTTTTTCTGGTGGGATTGGAGTTTGACCTCAGGGCTTCAAGCTTGCAAAGCAGGCACTCTACCACTTGAGCCACACCTCCAGTCCACTTTGCTGTGGTTATTTTGGAGTTGGAGGGCTCTCAAACTATTTGCCCGAGTTGGCCTTGAACAGCAATCCTTGTGACAGGATTACAGGAGTGAGCAACCAGCACCCAGCACCAGGCTTTATTTTTAAAAAGAACATGTCATGTTTTCTCATATGGTTTAGTATCTTCTGGCAGACCAGACAGACTACTTGGCATAGTGGACTACCACGAGAATCAAGAACTAGCCAGATGGTCTCCATTTTCTTCCATTTCTAAAAAGCCGTTGGATAAAAAAATCTTTCTTAAGAATAAAAGTGCTGAGCGCTGGTAGCTCACGCCTGTAATCCTAGCTACTCCGGAAGCGAGATGAGGAGGATTACAGTTCAAAGTCAGCCCAAGAAAATAGTTCGAAAGACCCTATCTCGAAAAAAACCATCACAAAAAAGAGCTGTTAGAGTGACTCAAGGTGTAGGCCCTGAGTTCAAACTCCAGTTCAGAAAAAAAGAAAAAATAAAGGTATCTTGGGCTAGACATGATGGTTTATGGTTTATACCTGTTATCCCCAGCTACTTGGAGGCAGAGAACAGGAGGATTGAGGTTGGAGGCTAGCACAGGCAAAAAGTTATCAACCAATAAGCTTAACTATGTAGAGGGCATAAGTAAGATCAGTATGAGGCAAAAACATGAACTTACCTGAAAAATACCTACAAAGCAAAAAAGAGCTGGTAGCAAGACTCAAGTGGTACAGTGCCTGCCTGGCAAGCACCTGAGTTCAAACCCTAGTACTGCCAAAAAAATTAAATATTAAAAAATAAAGGTATCTTATTTCACAAGAAATATTTTATACAAGTTGAATGAGTTATAATGCTGAGAGCTCTTTATTAAAAAAACTATGTAGTGAATTATTTTATAAATAAAAAGCACCTCCTAGTTATTCAGCTTAACTAAGTTTAACAAGCTTTTGGGTACCTACTATGTGTCTAACAGTTTCAGGTAGTTTGTAAAGATGTGATCCCTTTTTCTTAAAGAATTAAGTAGTCTTAAGCAGTTAACGTTGAGAACATTCTGTGCCAGGCACTAATACATGCCTTATTCACTTAATTCTCTCAATTCTATGAGGGAGACATTAGTGTCATCTCATTTTATAAACCAATAGACTGAAACACAAAGCAGTTACAATCATCCAAGGTCACTAAGCTTGGGATTCAAACCAGGTACTCTGGCTCTATTTACTGTTCTTAAAACACAAAACAATTGGAGAAAACCACAAAGAACTACTAAATTTTGCAGTACAGCAAAAATGAAAACTGGGTAAGAGACTGCAAAAAAAAAATCTTATCAGGAGGAAAAGTCAGTAAGAAAACAGGATTTCATAAAAGGAATACAAATAGGTAAAGAAAGGTCAAAATATCCCTATTTGCAGGTGATATGATCCTATACCTTAAAGACCCAAAAAATTCTACTCAAAAGCTCCTAGACACCATCAATAGCTATAGCAAGGTAGCAGGATATAAAATCAACACAGAAAAATCATTAGCATTTCTATACACTAATAATGAACAAACTGAGAAAGAATATATGAAAACAATTCCATTTACAACAGCCTCAAAAAAATCAAATATCTAGGTGTAAACCTAACAAAGGATGTGAACGACATCTACAAGAAAAACTATAAACTTCTGAAGAAAGAGATTGAGGAAGACTATAGAAAGTGGAGAGATCTCCCATGCTCATGGATTGGTAGAATCAACATAGTAAAAATGTCTATACTACCAAAAGTAATCTACATGTTTAATGCAATTCCCATAAAAATTCCAATGACATTCATTAAAGAGATTGAAAAATCTACTATTAAATTTATTTGGAAACACAAGAGGCCACGAATAGCCAAGGCAATACTCAGTCAAAAGAACAATGCTGGAGGTATCACAATACCCAACTTCAAACTATATTACAAAGCAATAA